GAGCAAACAAGCCATGATGCAGAAACAACCCAACCCCAAACCAGTTGATATTGAACCCTTGGGTACACGCTAAATAAGGATGACTGAAGCTCCCAAAGTGACATATTGTCTGTGAATAGTCAGATTCCCAGACTTCTGAGCACTCACAAATGATGTTAACTGCCAGTAAACCTGCCAGCACTTTCAGCTCCATGTTGGAGTTTGTATACCCAGGCTTCACAATGATAGAAACTTTTGTGGTTGTTGGAGATCTGTTAGTGCATCTGCTAATACCTATGGCTTATTCACACAACAAAAGGACGTTATTTAAGATGCTCTTTCCTGTCTCCAAGGGGTTAATGTCACCAAGCAGAGTACAAAAATGTATGAGGACTCCTGAACAAAAAGCAGCCTCAGCCATTTGATAAATGAACATATCCTTTGTGCAGCTGAACTATACTAACAAAGCCATGCAGGCATGTAAATGACTAACTGCATTTTTGCACTACTTCTTATGTATCAATAGTTCAGTGTATAAGGTCAAGTTATTATAACATTTTTCTGGCCAGTTTATAATCTTATCTAATTTATCTTACTGGAGTAGTGTATGCATACTGTACAACATCTTCTTTGCCTCTATCCTCTTCTAAACCTGAACCTTCCGGTTTCAAAAATGCTAAATATAAGTTTATAATATGCAATCATATGAGCTTATATATTGTTTCAGCCATAACTCCACCATTAACTCAATCACAACAGTACTGTGCCACATCAAAAAACCAAACTAGACACTATGCTGTGCCATATGGCTATCATGGGCTTATTCAGGATTTAGGTATTCTCTGCGTATGTACAACTAGATGGTATAGGCATCCAGAATGTATTTCAGAAAAGGACCCATCTGATCTCTGTAAAGTTGGTTCCAATTTTCACCCATCTGTACACAGTGAGACATTACATACAATTTGCACCCTGTTGTATCAGAAGATGAACTAACACTCAACATCCCAAAATGGAAGTTCTCAAAAAGCAGAAACAAGCAGGAAGGACACACTGCCATATCTGAACATTAGACAATACTCCATTAACACAATCATCAGTGTAACATGCAAAACCTCAGGTCATCTTCAGACTTCTTCATAAACCATTAAGCTTCGGAGAAAAAGTATCTTGAGATACCCAAAAAAGGACACAAGTGGCTTTCAAGCATGTTCTTTGCATATTGTATCTTACAATGAAAACAAAAGGAGACTGTGAAGAAAGGGAAGAAAATATTTCTTCCTCTGTACACTGCTCTTGTTTAATTTGCTGCATTTGCTGTTACAAACTTCTAATCCAATTTTGTCAGAAATAAATGCTTTTTTATGGATCTACATATTTAGCAAAACCAGGCAAAGACTACGAGAGTTATCTTCCTAATCATATTAACAGTGATTGAAATATAAACTGATTGAAACAAGAGTTAACACTGCAACACATTAAAGGGACAGTCTATAGCAGTTTATTGTCCAAGATGTAGGTCTTACTTTTCATGAGTGTCATAACAATAAGATGATTGTTATAAATACTAGAGCACCATAATAAAACAGAAACTTTCAAGCTCATCTTTGTGAAACATTGGGGTGTTGAGGGAAGTAAAAAGAACTCCAAATAACATCCCTCACTCCTGGTACTAGAAATAACACAAATCAGCACCTATGGCACTAACACACTCCAATACTACAGTCTAGGTGTACTTAACCTACTCCTGTACAGAAGGGATTAGCTTCAAAACAACATGGTCCCACCTCTTCCTTGGCTTTGCAAAGCACCTTCCAGAAAGAAGAGACTGTAAGAGTAAGGACATCATTTATCTACACTGTTACTCTTGGAGAGAATGAACAACACAGTGGAAGTTTTGTAACAATTGGGTATCCTTGAATCAATGCAACTATGTGTGGTAAATGTAGTTTTCCCCTATACAGATGGTCATTCATAGCTTTTCATTGCAGCACTTAATATTGTACCAGATTGCTATTTGGAACTGGACAAGAATCTGCACCGTAACACTTGGAATCCTGAACCTCAGAATACACATTTTCTCAATGTGAAGTCAGGAACAGTGATTAAAAAAATGTGTCACCTTGTTTTACAGTTCAAATGTACTCTAAAAAAGTGTTTCCAAGAAACATCTGGCTTGTATTCACACCAATTTGGTCTAAATACGTATGTCAACAGATAATCCTCACATTCTGAGTGGAAACAGACCTCTTCAGCAAATTCAGCCTTAACTTAATTCCTTCTGAAAGAAGGAATAATTTTTACGTTATTTGGTGCGGAGTATTATTCACTAGAGAATCACTTTCAATAAGCTTATGAATCTTACCTTTAGTAATCCATTCTTGCCTTATCCTATTATCACTGATCTCACTGACACAGGAATGTACTCTAAAGGATCATTAAATAAACAAGCATCTGCATTTTTAGATTGGAAATTGTATTTTTCAAAGAACTGACAACAAGAACAAAAATACATCACCATCACCTTTGTTACAGACGCACTCTGATTTTGAGCAGCTGAAGACTCTTTTCAGTGCTGAGTAACTTGGCATTTAAGCAGAACAGCAATCCCCAAACAACAAAACTCCACAGCAGTTCTGAAGCAGCAAAAGAATAAAACCTGGATTTCTTTCTCCACATACTCAAGTCCTTACAACGACCGCACTAAACATGGGATAACAGCCCAGGAGGCAGGCAGGACACTGCACTGCAATCACTTAGTAAAACCAATCCAAATTCCAGAAGTTAAATCAAAACCAAATTGAAGTACTGTGTTTAGTACAGCACACAAATTAAAAATCATTCCTTTTCCAGATTACTTTCAGGACATAAGCTACCGTAACAAATTAGTGCAGTTATTTATCTAAAATGTGAGCAAACAAGGAGAGATTACGTGAAAATTAAATGAAAATAAGTTTTCAGGAGAGTCTGGAGTAACATTCAAGCAATATGCAACTCAATCCTTAAAAACCCCATTTCAGTATTTATAACAAACCAAATTTAAAGGCTTAAAGAAATTCAGCTTCTCATTAGGCATCACTGAAATGCATTGCCAAAAGCAAATCAGTGATTTTACTGGGAGAAAGGAGGAATAAGCTTTTGTGGGAAGCCTTTCTGTTCCAGAAAGTATGCAAACTTAGAAAGCCTTGGAAGACCCTGCTTGCAACAACATAGATCTAAGTTCAAATACAACTCAATGACCAGAAATACAATTTACAACAGAATACAAAGAAAAATCAGTGTATTTAAATGATCAGTACATTAAAATCATTTTTTCAATAGACTGAAAAAAGGGAATCAAACAAGTTTTAAACCAATCTTCATTTTTAACACTGCTCAGGTGGTGTGTTTTAGCAACCAAAGCTGTGTGTTTTGGTCACACATCAATCCATATGAAGACAGGAAATCAAGAATGAGCAAGCTCTCCCATCCAGGAACTTACACGCCAAGTCCTGCTTCACTTCAGTTACTGAGACCTGACTGAGCTCAACAGGCACAGGATCACACTCCACTTGGAACACAGCTTTATCTTATTTGCATTACTTTTAAACGTAGGACAGAAAGCACATACCACCTCCGAATCAATCAATGAAAATGTATTTGGAGATTTAAACATGCAGAAAAGTCCAAGAAATGAAAGATTAAATTCTCACAAAGTACCACTTCTCTCCTCCAGTGTAAGTTGTATGGTGCATTTCTGCTGATGATGTTTGCAGCAGCTTGCCTTGACACGTGTTCATGCATGGTTTCTGCTGTGCATTCAACTGAGTGAGTCGGAGATTAAGGATCTCCTCTGAGCATCATGCTCTCTTAAGATACATATTTCACAGTACACAGTGCCCTGTTGTTTATGGAAGTTACAAAATCGTACTCATACTGAGTGCATTTCAACTTCTCACATTAAGACATTCCAAAGCAAAAGACAAGGTTCCAAAGAACGTACAAACCTAAACACTTACAAAAACAGGAGCCCTTGGGAAAAACAGTGGTTTTTAACTTGTTTTAAACTTCTTTACACAACTGTTCTGGCTCTGCGAGATACAGTTCCCATTGCGATTTACAGTATACTACAGCTGCTTCTTTGGGAACTTCATTAATAAAATTGTCCAGTTTTTAAATAACACTTGAAACCCAGAATTCCAAACCACTGGCAGTCCTAGATAAAGGCCAACACCATGCCAGAGCAAACAAAGATCCAGTGGATATGCAGGAAGTGACAGGAAGTTTCAGAAGAAACAAACAACAGAAGTCTTAAAGAGCCTGAGCTGCATCAAGAAGATTTGTGTGAAATAATTTGACTTCCCAGTCTTGGAAACTTTGATTTGGGGTGGGGAGGGAGGCAAGGGCAGGGAGGATTAGAATGGAGAGCACAGCAATAAGGCTTCATCTAGTTCTGAACTCTGTGAGTTACACTCAGCGTAAACTTTCAAGTTACACTGTTGGTAAACAGCAGTAGCAACAAGTTCATCAATTCTGTAATTCATTCCCTCACCATAAACACTACCAGGGAACAGTATCACCCTGAGCTTGTGAAGGGACAAGCTGACAAAATGCCCCTCAGAAATGAACAGCCTTCTGAAATAGTTTCATGTTCAATGAAAAGCTCTGATAACCTTATGATGTGAAGTAAAGTTTGATTACTTCACAGACAACTATAACGAAATTTGTTAGAGCTGAACACGTTGAGCTCTTATCAAGATTTGAGGACAGGAATAAAAAAGGGACTTTTGGGGAAAAGTTATTCAAATTGTCAATAATGTAACAAATGTCACAAGTGGAACACATGTATTTGTGAGACTATCAGGCTACAGCAGATGCTGCAGTATCTGTCCTGCAGAAAGTAAATGGTCCAAAGAAACAGCTAAATCCTTTAATGTGCACTATTTCTCTTAGGTATTTACATGATTAACATTATGCTCCCCACATCACTCTAAGGTACAAAACATACTAACACCATTTGCCAGAAAGCATTAAAGGACTTACCTAAACCACCCTGTTGTACACTGCACGTTTCTTGCTCACATTTTTACTATCCTTTGCTACCTGAAAAGAAAAATGCTCAGCATCACTGGTAATTCTGCTTACACTTGCTCCAAGAAAGGAAGTTGCACCTAAGGAATAAGATAATTTGATTTCTCAAAAAGCCGTGAATTGACTTTGGTGCTGCTAAAACCCCAGAAACCTCCCATGAAGAAGAAAACTACAGGATACTGACTTAGTGCTTATGCTTGAGCAAAGGCTGTTCAATGTAACAGCAAAACTGTACACACTGAGGGGTTGGTAAACTGTCTTTAAACATTCATTTTCTCATATACCTTCATCATCCAGGCTATACCCACTTCTACAAAACCTTTTATCATGTCCCTTCTTGAATCCCATCTTCCCTCATTAGATTCACAACCACAACGTAATAAATAGCTTTAAGGGTAACTGCCATCCTCCACCTTGCATAACCTAACGAACCAACGAGAAAATTCTCTTTCAAATACATTTCAAATGCATCACGTTTCCCCTAGAATGAAAAACCAGACTGCAAGAACTGACTTGACATGCAGCTCTGGTTCACACCAAAAAGAAAATCCTCATGATTGTGAAGGAGAGAAAGTAGCATGTTTAAGCCACATACATAAACTCCCATATACCTTCAAGGAGAGCCCCCACAGAAAAAGGAAGACAACCACAAGTCAGAAGTGGTAACCAAGCCAAATCTCCTCTATAGCCACAGGAAAGGTGCAATTATAATTTAGCAACAAAACAGCAGCTCCTCCAGGCAACACTAAATCACAAACATCATATTGAGAAACAAAACACTCCTCCTTTCCCTCTGCCCTCAGGCTTATAATTAAAGGAAATTCAAAAGAGCTCTTCTTTAGTTCTATTGCTTGAAAACAATGAGCCCTGTTGAGTCAGGGAATACATAGCTAGCTCTTAACTTCCACCAGAAACTCCTTCTAGTCTGCCCTGAAAATGGATTCCAGACACAGAAGGCAATAGAAAATACATTTTTCTTTAAAAGTCAGATCAACAGATCTAACTTCTTAAAAGTGTGAGGAGCTTAAGTCTCATAAGAATTAAAATACCCTGATGGTGTTCAAAAGCTCGACGTTTTTAGAGAAAAGGGTAATTAGCAGTGAGGAGGGGCCTTAATCATCACTGAACTTAAAGAAAAGCTATTCATTATGGCCTGAGTGAAAGCAAAGAGTTGTCAGGAAGTATAATGACAAAATGAAGCCCCAAATGTGTTTCTGTTGAAACCACAGTCTTTAAATGTCTGCCTGAGTTATAACTGTTAAGCTCAGGGCTTATGTTTTGGAGGCACTCTACTGGTCCACTTGGATTGCTGGTGAAAATGCTCTCCATCTGCTGACTGGCCATTTCTGTCCTTCAGCTTGTGAGAGCCTGGTACCTGCTGGGGTTCATCCCAGTAACTTCCATAAGGACATTCAGTATATTGAGCAAATGCATCACATTCTAGGATAGGAATGAGCAGGAGCTAGAAGTCATGGTAGCTCTGCTGTAAAAGGCATTTATCATGCAAGACTCACACAGAGTCTGCCCAGTACTCACTGACTTCCAGGAAGGCTGTTCCTGATGGGGCTCCACCTGAAACCCATGAAGGGCAAGTGGAAAATTCTGGGAAAGCTTTATTCCAAAGCACAGAATGTTTTCCAGCAGAGGCAGATTACTTTCCATAGTGCATCACAGACAGATGTACAGTCAGTACAAGAGATTTTCTTTTAGAGTTACAGTAAGCTTTGCAATGGTATTCTGGCAACTCACTCAAAAACCTGTTTCCCTGTCAGTATACAGTCATCCCTATAAAGATGAGGTAAGCATTGCAAGTGCTCTGTTCAGAGGGGATGCAGTGTTACGTCCAGAACTGATAATATATCCTGGAGCTGTTTTGTTGCACTTAATTGTGTAACTACACCCATTCTGTTTGACAGACATGTTCATAGTAGCATGTAATCAGGAACAGCTCAGTGGAAAAGTAGCAGCTATAAAATCCCTAGAATATAATGAAGTAATGCAGGTTTTTAATGCAGAACAGCTTCATCATCCTGATTTTAGGAACAACACAAATTTGTTTCCAGAATTTCTTTTTAAAAACAGCTAAAGGAGAAAGCCTTGCATTCCCTAAAGCTCACCCACTTCTTTCCTCTCTTCCTCTGTGATTCAATCTAAGATACAGCCACTCTTTACTAACCATCCCACCCTTGGTATGCTCTGTGACTGCAGTGTTTAAGTTTTCACTGCCCCATGCCATCACTACGCTGCACAACAGAGCCCTTCAAACTGGATATGTAACCTCTGTGAACATATGCCACTTCTCAGTGAAAGACTGAAAAGGAAAAGGACTCCCCACTTGCAGCACTGTGTGCAGTTCTGGTGTCCTCAACATAAGAAGGACATGGAGCTGTTGGAGCAAGTGCAGAGGAGGCCACAAGGATGCTCAGGGGCTGCAGCACCTCCCCTATGGAGACAGGCTGAGAACACTGGGGCTGTTCAACCTGGAGAAGAGAAGCTGCGTGGAGACCTCAGAGCAGCTTCCAGTGTCTGAAGGGGGCTACAAGGATGCTGGAGAGGGACTCTTCATCAGGGACTGCAGCCACAGGACAAGGGGTGATGGGTTCAAACTGAAACAGGGAAAGTTCAGGTTAGATCTAAGGCAGAAGCTCTTCCCTGTGAGGGTGCTGAGGCACTGAGGGTGCCCAGAGAAGCTGTGGCTGCCCCATCCCTGGCAGTGTTCAAGGCCAGAGCCTTGGGCGACATGAGTCTAGTGTGAGGTGTCCCTGCCCATGGCAGGGGTTGGAACTGGGTCCTTTCCAACCCAAACCATTCTGTGATTCTATGATATGATTCTATGATTGCCAACAACTATTCAACCACCTTTTCTAGTGCACTGCCACACACAAAGGGCTGAATCTCTACTCCCATTTTCTAGTCAAAACTTTAGCTAAGCCTATCCAGAACCACCTGGAAATAATCTCAAATGAACTACTTAGTTAAAACTGGAATGAAAACATTCCTGTTTTAGATTCAGCTCAGATTAGTCTAGATTTACTTCAACACCTTTATCCTTCCAATGGAAAAAAAGATGAGTTCAAGAGCTTGTGCATGCTGATGCAGACACATCAGCCATATGGGGACAGAAGCTGGCATTCTCATTTTGCCTTTAGGCAATTTTAACCTACTTTATAACTCTTTCTTTGAGACCTTTATCTGGTGCTTACTGCATAATTCTTAGTGAATTTTTCTAGGCCTTTTACCTGCTCACAGTCACTAGCGGAGCAGAAGGTACTTGCTGATTGTTGTTGGTCCTTCTCAAAGAATACATGACCACAGAGGTTACAGAACATCCTCAGGATGTCCTTGACGCAGACGGACCTGACAACTGAAATAGAAATAAAACAGCATCCTCAGACGATTCTAGAGATAAACTACTTCTGTCATTGCTGTAGTTAAGAGAAAGGCTGTAACTTAAATGGCATCTCCAACATGATATTTATGCAATGATTAATTGTGGGGAATGCCACATTCCAGTGGGCGTAGAAACCATCCCCCCGGGTTTACTGGGAGAGTGCAGCACTGGAACAAGAGCACCATGGTCTTGCCTCCGGCTTGCTCTTGCTCTCAGCTTGAGAGCTGTTCTTTCACACAGCGCCGTGCAAAGAGAGGTTAAACCACGTCGCGGGCGCCCTGGCTGATGCCAAATAAAGGCAAACCGACGGCCCCGCACAAAGAAGCCTCTCTCCGTTTCCAGAGCTATAAATTCAGACGGAGCTATTGACCCCCATGACTCAGAGGCATGAGAAACCAGCACCCCAACCCCTGCTGCCCGCGGGGTGGGCAGCGCTGGACAGGGCCCGGGCTCTCTGCCCGCCCTCCCCTCCACCGGGGCAGCGAGAAGCCCCGTCCCACCCGGGCTCCTCACCTCTGCCGGCCGGCCCCTCATCTCCTCCGAGGATGAGGAGAGCCCTGGCCGAGGGACGAGAAAGGCCCGGGACCAGGCCGCAGCCTCCGCCGCAGCGGGAACCCCGGCCAGACCCTTCCCGGTTGCCAAGCAACCGCCGCCGGCTGCTGTAAACACCGCCACGCACGTGACGTGACGCAGCACGCACCGTAATTACGCATTACGTCATCTCTCCCCCCCACCTACCAAAGCCTATAAATAACCCGCGAGCGGCGGGGGGGGCGTGGCGCCGCGGTAACGTCACCGGTGACGCGTCCCCCCCACCCCGCCCTCACGCACGTCTATTTTTAATCCTTTGTTCCAAGTGCCCGCCCCACCGCCGGCCGCCGCGGGGTGACGCCATCCGCTTCCCGGAACGATGACGCGCCCGGCGACTGGGGGGGGGCTGCTGCTGGAATGCGCTCGGGGCTCCGCTGCCTTAAAGGGGCAGTGTCCCCGCCCCAAGGCGGGGGGCGGCCCTGACGGACGGGTGCAGCTGGCGTGGGGGGGGCTCGGAGCCGCCGCGCTCTGCCCCGCTCCAGCCCCTGAGGGGCAGCGGAGCCCGGTCCGTGCGCATCCGAAGCGCTGCGAGGGGTGCGGGCTGCAGATGCCGTCGGTCGGTGGGGTCCGGCCCGGTGCCGCCCCCTGAGCGGGGCCGGGCGGATGGGTTGGGGTCGGAGCCCAAGCGGGTGGCTGGGGTCTTTGCTCCCGGGGTTGGTGTTTAGCAGTGCTCCTACCCCACCGCGGAACAGCGGCCCGCCGCCGGGCCCTGCCGCATGGGCACCGGGGGACGAGCAGTGCCGCCGGGTCCTGCCCCAGAGCAGCAGCATCGCGCTGTGCCTCTGCTGGGCGACCCTCAGGTACACATCGTTAATAAAGAGACGCTAATTGGCAAAAGAAAACGTCCTCGGTGTACTCTTTATGTATTTCTATCTGAAACACAGCAGCGCCGAATACCGTAATAGGGGTTTTCTACCGATGCGTTAAGCATGAATGTGTTTGATGTGATAAAACCCAATTTTAACTCGCCCTCGAGCTAGTGTTGTCCATAGTAGGTTATCCCTGGAGCAGGGATGTGCTCCAAAATAAAGCCCCTCACTCAGTATAAGGTCGAGATGATGCTGTGGCGTCATATTTAGCTCATGGCTCGTAGGGAAATGTAGGGTGTTCTTAGTCACCTATGGCATGACCTTATATTCCCACTCAATTTAGTAACAACAGTTGGTTTCTTATGGGGCATGTGAGATTTAGTTTATTAACTTGAGTTTCTAGGCTAAGTGGGGAGAAAGAAAAGGCGTGAGATGAGAAGTGAGCAGATGAAGGGGAAGTGCTCAGAGGGATGGAGCTCCCAGGGAAATGTAAGTCTTGGCTCCTAAGCTTCTCAAATGGACATTAATGTAAATGTATGGTTACTTATGATAAAATACTTTGGATAGATGTGATTTTCCCCCTGACTTTTAAATTATCTGGTTATGATTTTCATCTTGGCTTTTGCCTTTTGTTTAGTTGTGAGCTTTTTGATTGAATAGCATAGTGGGATCTGTGGAATACTAAGCCTCTTGTGTTCAGAAAGTGATGTTTCATCCATCTGAAAGGAAAAGGACCCAAAAGCCTCCATTTACATTCAGATGGTATATCTTACTCCTATCATACAGATGGTATATCTTATTCACCAGGCTGGTATGTGGGATATTGATATATGTTTGAGCATGTAAAATCCTGGTAGGCAAATACCAGAATAACCTGCCTCTGTATATTATAGACAAGAAAAATGCTGCAGCTTGGCCCTGAGTGTGTCACAGATGTATGTCCCCTTATTGAGCTCTGGAATGAATCCTGCTCTTACTGTCCCTTCGGCTGCTGCAAGTTAGGATAAGTTATCTTACAAGGACATTTAGCTTGTTGAGGAGGTTCTGGCTTGGTGCATTAGGATCTAAAAGTGAGCTAAAAGGATGCTGTTTTTTTCTCTTACGTGGTCACTTGCATTAACTAAACCAAGGAAGAGGTAGAATTAATAAAACATCAGAGATGAGCGACTCTGAACTGTAATCTAATTCGGATGTCAATTTAAAGAAATCACTGCCGTTTGAACTAAATAATGAATGTCAAAAGCTGTTTGTGTGCAGAGGATACCTGTGATGTCTTGCTGGGAATGTTGTTCTTTAAAAATCCAGTATTTTTCATTCTTGCTCTTATAATAAACGATCAGGCAGGCTCTTCCCTTCGCAATCTTTATGTTCCGGTGAATCTGTCATGCAAGCTTCCCTGTGAGTCATTATCATAATTTCACATCACTCATTAAATGAAAGTTGTTTTTCCCCCCTAACTCCCCTAACCTACTTCTATCATGCCAACAGGAGCATTCAGAAACTGGCACTAAGGTGCAGCTCTCATGCGAGTTTTCTGTTTCCCCGTGACTCATTTGACATTAACATAATTATGTTACAGGAGTCAAAGTGATTTTCCAACTATGAGTAATGCACAATACTAGAGCGAATGTTTACAAGACACCGAGGCATATCAGCTAGCTGAAGTAACCAGCTGCTGATAACAGCTGAAGTAAGTTAGGGAATTAAAAAGACTTAGAACACAATTAGCCTTCTTTGGCGCTCGGTGCCATGCACAGCCGAGAGGTAGGTCATCAGCTCCGCGAGGAAGGATCCAGAAGCAGCACTGTGCCATAACGGGGAGAAGACTGAGCCCGTGGGTAGCTCGCATAAGAAGTCTTCATAGTTTTCTTCCCACTTGCATATTTATGGCAAAGTCGTGCTCGAATGAGAGCAGTGATCTTTTCAAGAAGCGGCTCTATTTACCAGGGTTCATTTCAAAACGCCACTGACACACATCCTCTCAGCCAGCAAAACAAGAGCAAAATGAAACAACAACAAAACTGATATTAGGTCATCTCACAGATATTTGGAGCTGTGAATAGCACAAAGGAAGAAAACCAAACAGGATAAGGCAAAATTGAGTCCTGGTACCATGATGAGATGTCTTTTCTCTGCAATAAAAATATCTATCTGCAGGCTGGGGGTAATGGTACAGAGGAAAATTGCAATGAATATGTTCTGAATAAATAGCAGAAAGGGTAACTACAAAGTGTGTAAGCCATAAGAAAAAAGTATAAAGACAAGATAAAATCTTAGTGGTGATGATTTGTTTCTGTTGTTCCCCCAAATCTGGACAAATTACTGACTCTCAGGATTTTTATTTCAAGTACTTTGACAAATAGGTTGAGTTTTTCTGGCTGCTCCTTTCACGAGTGGCTTTTGAGTGAAACTGGGGCACTTTCTGGTTAGAAGTCTGTCAAATATCCTTCCGATGAGGCCGTATCCTGTAATGTGCTGAGCACCCAGAACATCGCTGGTTTCATAAGAGCTGAGGACGCTTCGTTTCTCCTAGGATAAACCTAGAAGGTAGAAACCTAATTTTGAAATACCAACACAAAGTAGCTCCCATTTATTAAAGTATAGAACCAAAAATAACCAGTTAACAACTTCCCTATGAAATACCACAAGTGGGAAGGAGGGTCAAGTGCAGAAAGCACGTGCTGATAGCAGCACTGCCTGCAGAAAGCGTGTTTTCCAGGAGACAGATTCCAAGAATTCGGAACAAAATTCCACGTCACACCCGGTTCTTTATTTCATGAGAAAATCTGCTGAGGCCAGACGTGGCACGCTGGATTTACCATCACTGGCTCTCAGGGATGGGTGAGGACCAGAGCTGGTAATAAGGGTGTTCGTGGCTGAGGAAGCTGGAGGTGGGAAGCTTTGCCACAGTACCTTTGCCTTGGCATCACTCCCCATGTGCCAGGAGAGTCAAGGCTTGGAGGTTTCCTGTTTTCCCTGCTCTGGTTTTCATGCTGCACAAACATGGGCAAACTAGATCTGTTTCCTTCCATTTGCTCACCTTTTACTTGTTGTAACCTCTTACTTACTAGGGGTTGTAATGTACCTGCTGTGCAGAGATGGCTTTGGATGGCAACTGCTACTAAAGTATGAATGTACTTAATACATGGTGATAAAATCCCCCAGCAGAACCCAAACCAGACATAAACAGAACAATCCAAGCCCCATCAACAGAAATAAATTCCCATAGCACAATTTGGCAGTCTTAAATTTAATCTGATTTGCTGTAAGCTCATTCGGGACTGCAGTTTTATAACTATGAACGTCCACCTCCGTAGCATGCTGCTCCACTGGGTTCATGTCTATTTTCACTACTTTTAATTACCAACATCAACTACCAAAGCTCAGCTTTTTGTACTCATTTTAACAGAGCAAGTTCTTCCACTGCAGGTCTCTACTGGGTTATTCCTTATAGCAACACATAACAGGAGAGGTATATATAACAGTTCTGCTCAGCTCCGTACCGAGCTGAAGTCCCTGAATGAATCTGCCTTGAAAGCAGCATGCTCTGCATTTTCACCTCTTGCTTTCCAACTGATCTTTGGAGGGATTTTCTTCTTGCAATGATTTTCAGGGCAGCTGCACCCCGTGCTCCCCCCTTTTTCCTTCTTGGAGAAACCACCATTTGGATGTAACACCGATGCAGCATTCTGCAGTGATATACAACCTGTGCAGATTCCAAGTATTTAACCTTTGTTCCTTGCCGAAGCTTTGCAAATTAACTTAAAATAGCAAGAGTGAAATAGGCACCCAGGGACATTGACTGGAAGTAGCTGATAAAATCTCATGAGTGTTGCTGGCCCTTACTGGTTGGTTGGGGTTTGTTTTCAAGCTGAGCTTCCAAAACAGAATGTGCACAGACAGTTAGTGAGTTTATAAAATCATTGTGATTTTAGAAAGCAAGTAAAAGTAAGCAGATCCATCGGGATTTAGGTTGTGTTCTGGATCAGAGGAAAATTAGCTGATGGTATTTTTCTGACTTTTCAGAGTATGTATCTTGTAACAAGGCCCAGTGTTTCTATACTAACACCAGCTATCTTGGTGCCAACTGATAACATGTTGCTCTGAATTAGCACCAGAAAACAGAACTGGGAGCACATACCCATGCCAGCAGCAATGAAAATCGCTT